AAATGTGCTTCAACAATTGTGTACGTAGTCTTTTTATTCATTGCGTTTTCCAGTTCCCGTATTACTGCGCCATCTCTTCATCCTCAGCTTGTTGGGTTGGGCGGTAAACCTAGATGATGCATATTGTTCTTCTTTCTTCAACCTTAGAAATGCAATTTCTATGCGAAGTGAACATAACATCACAGCTAAAAAAGACAGCGTTCCATTTTATCATAAACCAAACACCGCCCTCTATTGCTCGGTTATCGAAGGTATTCATGAAGCAGACATAATCACAGTTGTTTTATTGAGTAACAAGTTCGGTAGACCCTCGAATTTCGCATAATCCAATGACGTCCGCCTTGATTCTGTCCCCTTCCGTGATGTAAACGCCGATAAATGACCTATCGATGGCGTTCTTTCTATGGACTTGCCACAGAGATCTTGGTGATATATCGGGCTAGTTTATCAATCACGTTCTGTGGTTCATCGAATTGTAGATGTTGATCAGGCTGACGTTTTAGCCTGCAGCTACTGTACTGGTTTTCGTTTGCCTTTGAGCACTTTCGGTGATTAATTGTTTGGCAGTTCATTCTGGATAAGAATGCCAGTGAACTGTTGTCAGCGTCTCCCCAACCTTCATCCAGCCCATTGAATTTAGATGAGAGAAGCATTTTGCAAGGTTAGGGAAGTGTGTCATTGGCGAAATGCGGGCAACATCATCGCCTCATCCTATCAGAGCAGGCTCCTGCACTACTTCAAAGTCCTGAGATAACGGGATATTCGTTATGCGGAAAACTCTCGGAGAAAATGCAACTACGTTTCCTGACAGTTCCAATTCATGCAATCCTGAAAATGGCACAAAACGCGGGTTATTTATATACAACTTAATTAAGTCCGGTCTTTATCTTTAAGATGACCGGTGAGACAACGTCTGAAACATCAGTACTGTTCAACCATTTGACTGTCCAGATTTTTCGCGCTATGTGTAAATAAACCGTGTGTTGTGTCGTTTTCAGGATTACATGAGTTAGAATATATATAGGTGGCAATAGTTCATGAGGATTCGCATCGAGAATGAAGTGCTAAACAATCAATCACCAGAAAGTGCTTAAAGATAAACGACAACCAGTATTGTAGCTGTCTTCAATATGACCACTAACGCATGAGCCAAACACTTAAGCCATATTATTCCGATCTATCAAACAATGTCGACAAAGATTCTGAAACTTATAACGGTTTTACGTTCGATCAGCAAGGTGGTCGTGTACAGAGACTTCGGGCACTGATTGCTGTCAAGCAACCAGCTTGATAAGATGCAGAAAATATTCGGTAGCAACGGCTTCGTCCACCAAATACGGCCGGTAAAGAAGAGCGATGGAATTTGTCTCACAAATCACATAATTAAATATGTTTTGCAAGCCAGTCACTGGTGTGTGTGTGTGTGTGTGCGCGCGCGTGTGTGTGTATGATTCAAGTGGATGACTCTAACCCTAAGTAACGAGCATGATCCTGTAACAGGTGCTTTGTCGATATTTAACATAATACTCACATGCATTCAACAATTCGAAACGTCGCACACTCCACTGAAAAGTCCAATTAGTCAGACCTATGAATGCAATTGCAGCAGAGAATCGCTAGGGAAATATTTTTCAAGACAAAGACACGAATTAGACTTAAGATTTGTGCTTACACTTCGCCTCTCCTTGCGACTGTCCGAGATTCTAAACGTCACGTTGTTCTGCCGTCGTCGGTGAGGGCTGCAGTCAGAGCCATCGTCAGTTACGTTTCGAACCGGCGCCCACGCACAGCGGCTGCGAGCGACGAAACTGAAGTTCCTCGACGACTAAGTGGTGTGCAGGGGGCGAGACGCGTGCGGCGACAGCAACTAAGTGTGCGTGATGCGTGCTGCGAAGTGGACGCCCTCCTCGATTCTAGCCGAACCAGGAATTGGGCGACTACCGCCTCCAAAGCCGGGGCTGAACTCAACGGTGTCGAGCTGAGCAACGAGTCATCGCCCTCGCCCTCGCCCCTTAGTTTCGTTCAAATGACGAATTACCTTGCAGCCATAGTCGATTCGGTTTTTGGTGAGTGCCCGTAAATGGAGCAGTCCACCTTAAGTGCAGAAGTGCGAGCGGTCAAAGCTGTGTGCCAGCAAGCATCGCGTGCGTTCGCGTATAGTACTTTGCTTTTCATTCACTCTACTACAGTGGCAATGCCCTGGTTCCGAAATGATTCATTCAGCGTTGTTCCAGCGC